GTTAAAATTGACGATAATAGCTTTTGAGTTCATCCAGAAAGTAACATGCTTTATTTGTCAACCATTACTGTGTAACAAACACCCTGAGGACTCAGTGGCACTTAACAAGTGTTTATTTTCTGCAAGTTTCCAGGTCAGCTAGTGCAGCTCTGCTTTCATTTGCAGGAACTGGGGCCGCTCCAGTAGATACTATTGGTCAGCAAGAGTGGGTTGTTCCGGGTGCTGCTCATTCTCTTGGGACCAGCAAGCTAGCCATAGTGCCGTTCGCATGGCAGAGCCAAGAAGCCAAGCCCAGCTGCTGAAGGAGGAAAAGTCACAGGCTAGAGCATTCCTGTACAGAGTGTGTCCTTAGTAAGATAAGTACACAAGTGGAGACTATAAAGAAACGTTTCCAGTAATTTGCTGTTGCCACGTTATCTAAGGGGCATTTCCATTGAATTTTATTACAAGTGTTGCCCATAACAGATTAAAAATTTATAAAAACAACCTAATTCTTGACCCAAGATAATTTGAAAATTACCAAGATAGAATGTATGGCATCCTGCTCACTAGAAAAGAATTTGTGTGTGCATGTATACAGGCCTGCTCATCTGTGCAGTGGTCTGAAGGAATTTGTATCACTGCATTGCCAAGAATCTGACCATCTTTGGGTGTGCTGATATTCTGGTCCAGAATGTTCCAGTAAAGTGACATTATGTGACACCTTTGGCATCCTACTTGTTTGCCTTCTCCTGCCAGCCTCCTTTCTGCTCTGTTACATGTATGTTTTCAGCCCCATAATGTTAACCTTGACAAAAGACATAATTACTAATAGTATGAAAATACTGACAATATAACTTGTAAAATATATCTGTAACATTCCAGGGTTTGTTTGAGTTTTGGGGCCTACTTAATATCACCATGTTTGGTATGTTTCTAAGATGCTTTCATTTTCATGAGAGAAGTGCTTCTAAATTGATCAGTTCTAATGAAATTGATCAATATAAGGCCAAACATTACAGACATAAAATGGGGGAGAGAGACTCTTTTTTTTCAGGAGGGAAAGAAAAGGATGTGTGTGTGTATACCTTTTCTTCCTAGTTCTTTGACCTTGGGCAAGTTATTTGATCTTTGTCATTTCTTAGCTATAAAATGAAAGCATAGTATCTTCCTTGAGAAGTGCTAACATTAAATATTCTCAGCACATAACACAGTTTGGCATATATACATAAGTTTTCAAAAACATTGACCAATATTCAGGGGGGTGGATTTTTGTGTTTGCTTGTTTGCTTATTGAGATAGGTTCTCACTATAGTTCAAGTTGGCTTGGAACTCCCTGTATACCCTGGCTGGACTTGAACTTACAGCAATCCTCCTGCCCCAGCCTCCTGAGTGCTGGGCTTATATACATTCACCACCAAGCCCAGCCACTATTTTTTTTTTAATTAGCTGGCCATTAGATTTCAGTCTCTGTAGATCAGAGATAAGGTCAGGCTGTACCCCTGAGGAACTCTTAATCTGGTGGAGGAGTTAGGTGAATATGTAAGAAAGATAAAGTATTATTTAGTTCTATTTTAGATAGAAACATAGGGCACCAGGAAAATTTTTAGATAGGCCCTGACCTTACCTAACACCTGACATGTGATCTGGGGAATAGTAGATTCAGGGTAGGTTTTTAAAACAGATTTTGTCTAAGTTAAATCTTAAATGATACAGAATCCTTAAAGAGGAGAATTAGGAGGATACCAGAAAAATGGAGCAACATATAAAAAGGCCTTAGAGTTTGGTAAAGTTCTAGGAAATTGTAAGTGATGTGGTATCATTTGGATCACATGACAGCCCTACAAAGAGAGGTAACACTAGTTTTATAGATGAGAAAATCTCAGTTTCAGAGTTAAGTGATTTGCCCAAGGTGATTTTGCTACTCAGGAACAGAGTTGGGATTTAAAGTCTAGTTTGTCTGATTTCAAAATTCACCTTTTCCTACTGTGCTCTACTTCTTTGTAACTTTCAGAAGCATAAACATACAACCATGTTATCTTTAAGTCTCTCTCCATAGTTCTCTGTTGATATGCTGGGTTGTAGGACTCTGATACATCCTTTCCTCTAATTTTCTCCGCTTCATTCCTGAATACACCTGTAAGCTTGCTGTTCCCATCAGATTGACTCACTCTCCTGCCTTCTGCTCCAGTGATTACTTTAAGTAACATCTACTGTCTGCTGAATGAGGCCTGTCCTGGCTTGATGTTCAAGGCTCACCGTAAATCAGGAAGACTGTTCAGAACTTCCCTTACATCTCACTTCTCATCCACACATATTCATGCCTTCAGGTATCATTTACATGTTTGTCTCACTGTGGTGGTCATACTGTGTCTTAGAAGGGTGTTATTTTAATGTTTTGATTTTCAAATTACTCCTATTTTGTTACCATTTTTCTAAAAGCTATATTCCCTTTGGGATAAAAGCAACTTGGTGTCTTCTGATCTTATTAGTTCCTATCTAGTGAAAACGTTATTTGTACTTGGTCCCTAATGTGATGAGCCAGCCTCTGCTCCTACTTTTCTGGAGGGATCTTTTTTTGATAAAGGAGAAAAATTCTAATTGTTATGAACTCCTTATTATTGAGCCACTTGTTTCCCAGGACCTACCCTTGGAAGAGCAGAAGTCAGTTATTTCTCCTCTCTCTCATGAAGGGCCATCAGACATTTAAAGATAGTTCTTAATGTCTCTCCTGAGGTTTCTCTTACATAAGCTACAGAATCTCATTTGTTTGGAACTTTTCTGCAATGCAGGTCTCAAGCTCACTGCTGTTTTCCTATCATCCTCTAAAAACTCTGTGATTTAAACTGCCTATGTGAACACAGGGCACAGAAAAATATGGAAGAGAGTAGTCTCTGATGAGGACTTGATACTTACACCTTAAAAGCCTGAGATTGCTTTAACTTTATAGCAGCCATATCACATTTTGCATTCCCAAGTTAAAATTCCCAAGATACTATTTTATGTAGGTAGTAGTACACTAACTCACAGTCTACTCTGCAGTTGATTTTCTTCAGCCTTAAGTGTGGCGCTTCCTAGTATTTCTATTTGTATTTCAACTCGACTTTGACCAATTTTTTTGGCCAGTTATTGTTATGCTATGCAGTATGTTTAGGTCATCTTGAGATTTTAAAGCTTTCTTTCCAAATTTTGGTAGGGCAGGGGGTGATACTGAAGATTGAACCCAGGGCCTTCTGCATGCTAGCCAAGTGATCTACCACTGACCTACATCCCCACCCCTTTATTTGATTTTGAAACTAGGTTTCTCTGAGTTGACCGGGTTGGCCTCAGACAATGTTCCTGCCACTACCTCAGGTAACTGGGATACAGGTGTATGCCACCATGCCTAGCTTACTTTCCATATCTTTAACCAACTGCTTGATAAACATGGCAAAGACAATGACCACCCCCTCATTGTACCCGCCATTGATACTGCCTACAGAGTGGTTCTTTTCACAGCTGTTCTGTTGCCTGCCTCACATCTATAAGGTTCTATTTATTTATCCTGTGCATTTTTATTTAGCACCTACTATGTTCAAGAAAGTACTAAGTATACACTAAAGACAGCAGCTTCTGTCTAATGATGCTAACAAATTAGCAACATCATGAAATAGTTTGTTAAATGTTTTATGGACATCATGTTACATAATTATTTAATATTCTCTTTGTTGGGTACCATATTAGAAAAAGGAAAAGAAGCATTACTTTTTGTCAAAACCATAGCAGCTACTAATGATCTTATACCCCTGAAATGGGATTCACTCACTTCTCTTTCAATGTTCAAGAATTTCTCTCTCAAGTAACTTTAAACTTTGTAAGTCTCTGGAGTTCACTGATGCCCTTTCTTTTGGATATATCTTTTTTTTTTTTTTTTCCTTTTATTTTTTTGTACCTCAGATCAAACTCAGGACCTCACACTTGCCGGGCAGGCACTGTGCCGCTGAGCTATATCCCCAGCCCTTGGCAATATCTTTTACAGCAAAATTTATTGGAGAGTAATCTTTAGAGCCTTATTTTTATTGTTGAAAGCAATAATGTTTAAATGTTTTCTTCTTTTGCTTACATGTTATCAGAATTGGAGTTGGTTTATTTGTTTTGTTTGCTAGGACAGGTCTCTCTATGTAGTTCAAGTTGGCCTTGAACTCATTATGTAGACCAGGCTGGCCTTGACCTTGAGCTGCCTGAGCCTCCCATGTGCTGGGGTGGTTTTTATTTAATAGTAAACTTAGTGAAAAATTTCTGTCCAACTTTAACCATTTTCCTATCTACTGTCTTTCTCACTCAGATTTTATATCTTTATTTTTTGAAATGATCTTACTTAAGGAGAATAGCTGACTGTCCTCAGATTTTCTTTTCTTGTTCTTGGAGCACTTAAAATACTGTATGACCTTCTCTGGAATCTTGCTCTTTTTCACTTAAATCGCTTGTTTCTTTTTAATTTTGCTAGAATTAAGCCCAAAGGGGCATAAAGTTTTCATATTTTGTATGTTTTCTGAGGAATTAAGTTATTAACAACATAAGATTCAAAGTTTTTGTTAGGATAATACAAAAAACAGGTATCTCCATGGTTGGCAGTCCACCTATCTTCTCAGGTGTAGACGTTGCATCAGCATGTCATTCATTTTCCTCTGGTCAGGTTCCACCAATTCAGCATTTCTACCTACTCTTCTTTCCCCTCGGACTGGTGCTTTACACTCTTATTTGTATTGCTAGATTTGCACATAGATGTTTATTCTCTTGAACAGCTGGGAAGATTCTCCACATTTTCCCACATATCCACCTCTTTACAGCTGCAGATTTTCTGTAGATGTCATAATCCATTACTATCCCATTCCAGCAGTCTTGGTGATTTCTGTGAGATTTTGTTTTATTTCCTTGAATTCTTGGTACTATGGCCAGCTTTAAATATAGTGCCTAGCACACTAACATTCAATAAGTAATCGATTATGATTAATCTCAGAAGTCTTTGCCTTCTCTTTTAGGCTGTGAGGATATCATTGCAGAGAGCATCTCATTAGATACCTTAATTGCCATCCTCAAGTGGAGCTCTCATCCATATGGCTCTAAGTGGGTACACCGGCAAGCTTTGCATTTCCTCTGTGAGGAATTGTCCCAGGTCATGACTTCGGATGTTTTTTATGAACTCAGCAAAGATCATCTGCTTACTGCTATCCAGTCTGACTACCTACAGGTAATCATTTATACACCTCTCAAAATCATTGTCATTCATATGTGCACCAAAAATTCATCTGTACCCTGTTATTCTTCTATAGGGAGGGGGGCAGGTTATGATCAGACCACTCAGGAATGCCCTCTTGATATTTGCACAGTAGAAGTTTTGTGCCACCTATCCAGTTATATCAGAAGAGCTTGAGGCGGTAGGTGAGGTCAGAAGTATATCTCAGTAAGGATTTCTTGTCTTCTGTTAATGTGGATTCACTGTAACAATTTCTTTAGGTAGAGTATCAGGTACAGTGGCCCTTTGGTTCATGAATACTTTTGTTTGCAATTTGATTCACAAACAGAAATGTTTGGCAAAATTTTATTTTTGCTTGCAAACTTAGCAACTGGTGACAGACATGACCATTTTTCACCCATAAACATAAATGTGGCCATCTTTTCCAAATTCACAAAACAGCTAAAGTTTATGAACCAAGGTACCACTGTACTTAAATTGTACATAGTAACTTAATCAATGCTAAGTAAGGAATAATATTCAATTTCTGATCTGCTTAGCTGATTGTAAAAACTCAGTATATATATTCTGCCAAAGTATAGTAGTATTTCCAACTACTTATTTTTAACTATACGTGATTTTTAATATATTGTGTCCTTATGTCAATCTAACTTTGTAATTTATTAATAGATTCTAATACAAAAAGTGCTTTCAGGTAAAGTATTTTTGAGCCTAATTTTTTTGGGCAGTGTTAATTTTATGCTAAAAACAATACACTTTTAATGCTATAAAACCATAAACTCAATTTAGCAGCACATACACTGAAACTGGAACGGTATAGAAAAGATTAGCAAGGTCCCAGGCAAGGACAACACACAAATTCATGAAGTATTCTCTATTTTTTCTTTGCCATTTCATGTCCTTTTTTTTTTGTACTAGAAAAATTACAAAATACTATCATCTCAATCAGAAAGTGCAGTAAAGAGTTAAATAATCTACTCTGCGTCTATTTTCCTTTGATACTGCTTTGATTGCAGAATAATTGCTGTCATTCTTGGGCTTGATTTATGGAGGATCTTTGCTCAATAACCTTGTCTCACTGTTAAGATCAATTGTTATCTATTTATGGGAATTAGAATGTGTTCATGCTCTCAGATTTTTGTTTTTAGAAGCTTTTCATTCCTTCGTAGAAAATAAAAAACTTGGGAAACAACCTACATTTGCTCTGAGATTTTAAATAAAGCACAAAAAAATGAGAGATACATTACCACGGTATAGATAGAATACCTATGAAGGTCATAATCTCTTTTGTCACAAGATGACGAGATACTTCTCCTGTCCCTGCAGGAGGGAATAGATTCTGTATCATTGCACTTTTACTTCCATGAATGTATTTATTTCCAAGTTGTGTTTTGGCAACTGTATAGAGACCATATAGTGAGATAATATAAATTTAAAATAGGAAGAAAACAGAAAAGGCCAGGGGGGTAGAAATAAGAATAATAACTTTAGTAGAACACACAAGTAAGGCTGTTAGACGAAATACATGTAATGAATTTTTGAATATTTGTTGTTGATGAACCATAAATTTAACTCTGAAATTTCAAACAGCCAGGGGAGAGAGAGAAACATGGTAAGTTGTACTTTCTGTTTTATATTATGATTTAGGGAAAGTCATTAGTGAAATTAACAGTTTATCTAATTTTTCTAAAATATAAACTTTTTTATTATAGGCAAGTGAACAAGATATCCTTAAATATCTAATTAAATGGGGAGAGCATCAGTTAATGAAAAGAATAGCAGACAGAGGTAAGTTTAGAAGATTACTTATGCTAATCAGCTTGCATAAATTTTTGATGTTTTTTTTATATTTCCAAAAGCTTACTGAAATACATACTATGCATCATTCTTGAAAACAGACACTTTTTTAGTGAAAATAGTTTTTTGACATCAATAGAATACTTTAGTCAAAGGCTATAGTTTGGTAAAATAAACATCAGAAAATTTTACTTTGCAATTTTAATAGGTTACTTTTTATGTTTCTGTGTGCTTAGTGTTGCAATTAATGGGCATATTTGAAAATTTTCATGTAATGATTCAAATATTATAAATGTGTATTGTTGTTGAAAACATTCTGAAATTAGTGTTCATAGTTGCACAATAACGTGAATGTACTTACAAATCACTGAATTGCGTACTAAAATGGTGAATTTTATGTTATGTGAATTTTGCCTCAATTAGAAAAGTATGATCGGCTAGGGCTATAGCTTGAATAGAATGTGTGCTTAGCATGTGCAAGGTCCTAGGTTCGATCTTTCAGACCAAAAAAAAGAGAGAGGAATATAAACAAGTGTTTATTTGTTGCTTATTTTTAAATGTAGTAGAAGGTAAAAGAGTTAGTGCATTTGTAGAGTTGTTCTGTCACACTTTTATATACACAAGTTTTTTTGCTATGCTTCCTTTAAGCCTTTTTTAAAAAATGGCCGGATATGGTGGTGGAAGCCTGTAATCCCAACACTTTGGAGTCTGAGGCAAGAAGGTCACAAGTTTGAGGCCAGCCTGAACTACATAATGAGGAAATAATCTACATAATCTGAAAAGGAAAAGAAAACCTTAAAAGTATCTCTTTTTAGTATGCTGCTACCCAAGTAGTCAGGAGTGGAAGTGGTCCTGTTTTATTTTCTCCTAATTTATTTTTCTGTGGTTTAGAAAAGCCTTTAGCAATTCTCAGGTGAAAATTTTTTTTTATTTTGAAAGTAGTAAAATACAACAGAACAAGACAGAATAAAGCCAACTGAGACCATGTAATGAAATTGGTACAGAACTTCACAGCAGGTTACTGGGATAATAGTAATAGGTATCACGGTATATTTTGTTATCTTTACAATAGTTGTTCTTTCAATCACGTATATCAAAATAAAATGCAATACAGAACGTTACAGAACTTATCAAAACAGAATATTGAATAGAGCAGTACCATTAAATCAGAATAAAGCAAAACTATAATAAAAATATTTGCCTTCAAAGAGATGGTAGAAGGAAATCCCCTTACTTGCTATGGTCAGCCTCCCAAGAGATGCTCAGATTTCTGGTTCCCATTTGATAACGGGGGCACAGGGGAAGGGGGTAGGGAAAGTGGGATGTTTGACTCTAGGCCGTGCACCAGTAGGTTCACTATTGCTTAGCAGGGAGGCAGGCTGGTTGCTTGGTTTCCTAGCGTCCTAATTTCCAACATGATGTGGACTCAGGAGACATTGGTGGTTCTCCCCCTGGAGGGGCGGTAGTCTGCCACACCAACGTATTGCAGATCCAGGTTCCAACATGGTGCAGATCTCAGGAGACACTGGTGGTTCTCCCCCTGGAGGGGCCATAGTCTGCCACACCTCAGCCGTTGACCAGGGAGAGGAGCTGCTTGCTTGGTTTCCCAGGGTCCTACATTCCAGCATGGCGTGGATCTCAGGAGACACTGGTGGTTCTCCCCCTAGAAGGACCGCAGTCTGCCACACTGCAGCCGCTTACCAGGGAGGCGAGCTGCTTGCTTGGTTTCCCAGGCTTCTAAGTTCCCAGATGAGAATTTTTTTAAAAATATAAAAACCAAGCCGGGCATGGTGGTTCACACCTATAGATCCCAGCACTCAGAGCTGAGAAAGGGGGATCACCAGTTGAGGGCAGCCTGGGCAGTGTAGCAAGTTTGAAACCAGCCTGGACTACATAGTAAGACCCTGTATCTCAAAGACCAACAAAAAAGTAAGAGTGCATGAGTGTGTGTGTGTGTATCTGCAGTAAAGTCAGAAAGATTTATAAATGTCAGTTTATTTATAGTTCTCATTTGTATAGTCCATATTTGTGAATTTATCTACTTGGTAAATTTTACTTGTAACCTCAAAAATTCATATTCATAGCACTTTCAAGGTCATTCATAGACATACATAGAGCAGCAGAAAAGCATGAGTCCCTCAAATGAGCACATTCCCAGCATAAGTTCCACAGGGAATAGCACATTGATTTCTTGTTTCAAATCTGCTGTAAACAAGGGTCCTTCTCTCAGTCTAGTTAGTGCTGCTTTTCACATTTTTATGTTCTTATTAATGATTTCAGTACTTAAAACAGCCCCCAAGTGTGATGTTGAAATGTTGTGTAGTGTTCGTACGTACAGAGTGGCTATGAGTCGCCTCATGGAGAAAATATTTGCATAGGATAAGCCTTTTTTAGGCATGAGTTATGTTGTTGGACATGAGTTCAATGTTAGTGAATCAACAGTGTATATTAAATAACTTGTTTTTAAATAGAGACACACACGGAACTAAGTTATCCCTTGATTAATCGACAAAAATGTTGTATCCATAGACTCACAGAAACCTAACCTTAGGGTTTCCTCCCTAGAACAGCAGTTCAGAGCAGCAACAGTGACAATGAAATTGACACTGTTCATGTCAATCTTATAGAACGTACCTACTGGAAATAGCAAGGATTGGTTGTAGATAACTGTATAATCCTTGTAAGTCATAGATTGTTTGTTGATACAAGGTTGGCAATGATGGAGGGCTGTGTTTATTTTGGGCAGGCATTGAGCATACTTAAAGGATAAATTTCCAATGGCCAGGATCAAGAAAACCGACAACAAATGCTGGAGAGGCTGTGGGGAAAAAGGAACTCTCCTGCACTGCTGGTGGGAGTGTAGACTGGTACAGCCTTTGTGGAGATCTGTCTGGAGATTTCTCAAAAAGTTGGGACTGGAAATCCCATTTATTCCAGCTATTCCACTTCTAGGCATATTCCCAGAAGAACTGAAAGCATCATACCACAGTGATATATGTGCACCTATGTTTATAGCAGCACAATTTGTAATCGCCAGATCTTGGAAACAACCCAAGTGCCCATCAACTGAGGAATGGATAAAAAAGTTGTGGTATTTCTATACAATGGAGTATTATTCAGCTATAAAGAAGGATCACATTGAGATATTTATCAATAAATGGGCACAGCTTGAGACCATACTCATTAGTGAAATAAATCAATCTCGCATGTGTGAATACCGAATAGTTTCCCTAATGTAAATAATGATTCAAATATATAAAAATATGTGGTAATCATGATTCCCCATTAGGTGGCCTTGAAGCCTTATAAAGTTTTCACTCATTAGTTAGAAAGGCTTTATTCTGGGCTTCTTGATATGAAAATATTTGAAGCTAGAGTATATGAAGTTTTATCCAAATATTTCAAGGAAAAAGACACTATGGTAACTACTATTAAATCAGGCTATAAGGTGGTGAAGTACTAGGTTGTTGAAACAGTCATGCTGTGACCTCTATTGTTATATTGTTATGTCCTGTTTTATCTCAATCTCCCCCTTATTGTTTCAAAAAAAAATTATTTAGTCATTTCTTATGTTTGTCTTAATTAAAGAAAAAATTCAAAAAAATTAGGATATATAAATAGTAACTCTTTTCGATTTCCTATTAACTTGTTTTGAAGTCCTGTAGTACTCCCACGATCTTGTTTTGACTGATTAGACTCTGTTCCATTCTATATGATAGTATCAAGTTTGAAGACATAGGCAACTACTTTGAAGACAATAAGATTCACTAAGATACCCATTCTGGTTTGACTATTGTCTTCTTTGGAAGTCCTGTAATGTTTACAATGCCTAAGTTTTATTGGTCTTGTTCTCTACTGTTTTGTCCAACTTTATAATATCTAATAAGATAGACAATTCTTTTTAAGGAAACAAGGGACAACGTTGATAACCATTGTTGATAAACTTGTACTCTGTTCTACACCATGTGCTATGTCTATCCTTGGTATTGACTGACAGCTTTGTTTTGCCATATTTGACTGTATTCTTCCCCACCCCCCCAAAGAAAGTAATAAGCACTAAGGAGTAATAAAATCCAAGATGTGTAAATTTTGTTGTAAAAAAGAGAGAGAAAAAAAAAAAAAAGAAAAAGAGCTCTAACGGATATAACAGCAAGTGTGTTTGGGGGTGTTAAATAGCTGACTTTATCAATGTTTTTGGAACATTGAACACAGCTGTTTGCAGTCTCCCTGTTTGAATGTCCACCTTGTGTTCTTTGATACTGTGATTTGAGGAACTATTTTCAAGAAGATAGTGTGTAATCTACTAGCAGGTAATTTCTTACTGTTATGTTTTTTTGTTTTGTTTTGTTTTGTTTTGTTTTGTTTTATAGTTCTGTATTGCGTGTACCCTTACGCCGCTTTGGTTTGTTTTGTGTTTTTCTCTTTTTCCTCTTAAATTAAAAAAAAAAAAAAAAAAAAAAAAAAAAGGATAAATTTCCCTAAAGAGCATAGTTTTCAGCCTGGATTGAAATGAAAGATTTCTGATTTCTCTGCAGGGGTAAAAGGAAGCTAAGCAAACAGGCCACCCCTTTGTTTCAGTCACCTTCATTTATATAAGGAGTTCACCCTGACCTGTCAGATGTTAGGGGTTTCGTATAAGATTTCATCTGAAAACAAGACACTACTAAAAAAAATTTTCAGAAGTGATATCTACCTTATGTTAGTACAAAGTCAAATCATAGCAAAGCAAGAGAAAAATTGTTCCCACACAAAATTTTATTTTGAATGGCTCCACAAAAAAAGCGTAGCATCTTGAAAATGATCTGTGTGTGTATGTAAATAATGATTTAAGGAAAGCATTAATTTTCTTATAGAATACTGTATTTATAAAAACCTGACATTTATATTTTTGAGTAAAAATCTTATTCACTGTTAATTTTTTAAGGGAAAAACCCCTTATGTTTAAAATATGATTAAAAATATCTAAAATTAAGTAATTGAACTCTCACCTCAATACCACAAGTATGTGTATTTCATATCTTCCCCGTTTATTAATACCTAGTAAAGAAAATCTTTATTCTCAACTTTGGACAGTGAACTACAGTATAGTACATGTCAAAAATGAAAAGGTCCACTTATATGCAGTAACATTGCTGTGCTACGGAAACTTAGGAAACTTAATAAAAAATTTAAAATTATGTAGAATGTGTATTAGGTTTTGTTCCTTTGGATACTAAGTCATAAAATGTTAAATTGCTATCAAACATAGACAGCATAGCAAACATATTGATAACCTGGAGTGATGCCCTGTGCTGCCCCTGCTGTGCTAAAACTGGTCACAAAAGTGAGAAGATTAAGAAAAGACCCTTGATTAAACTGGGTTTTGTTGGATTGTCATCTTTCTCCCTTTAAGTTACCATGCAGAAGAATTTTATTCTTCAGTATTGTGTATACTGTGGACCCCACACATCTTTTCAATCCAAACGTCTCTAAATTACATAAACTTCTTAAGACTGAAAAATAATTGCTTCATAGCCCCTTTAAAAAGCAGAGGTACTTAGTACATAGAGAGGTGCTGAGAATGTATGTACTCCAGAAGAAAGACTGAAAATTTTGAGTCGGATAGAGACCTTTTATTTTCTGTCTCACAGAACCAAACTTATTGAGTGGAACAGCACACAGTGTGAACAAAAGAGGAGTGAAACGACGAGACCTGGATGTCGAGGAGCTTAGAGAGATCCTTTCTTCTCTCTTACCTTTTGTGCGAATTGAACACATCTTACCCATAAACAGTGAAGTCTTAAGTGATGCAGTAAGTGCCTTTTTTTTCCTTTCATGAAAAGAAAAACACCAGACTTGTTTTAATCACTATAAATAATTCCTAATAATAAAGTATTGTGAAGGCTATAAAGTACATGAAGACAAAACAAATGTCTTTTCCACACAGTGGTGTGTCCCCAGTGTCTGTCACATAGTACAAATAAATGTTGGGTGGACGAAAGTGATGAAGGGAAATAGGTCTTACTTTGTAAGGGTGTAGTTTCTAGGAGATGCCTTCATCAGTTCAAATCAAATAGATCTTTATTTCAGAAGGAAAAGGTAGAAAATGTATTCAGAGACTCTTTAAGAGCAGAAAAAATTAGACAGGGAGAAAATGAAACAGTCATGTTACTTCCATAATTTTTAAGTAAATTTTTTCAAACTAATACTAATAAAATTGGTTGAATTAGTGAATAGAAGAAAAATTAATTAACAAATTTGTTTCTAAATTTAATGTAATGCTTGTAAACAATTTTTTCTTTGTTTTTTTATTTATATAATTGTACAAATTTAGAAGTTACAATGTGATGTTTAGTACATATTTATATGCTGTAATAATCAAATCTGGGTCATTAGCATATCCATCACCTTAAACATTTTTCACTTCTTTGTGGTAAGAACATTCAAAGTCTTTTCCAATTATTTTGAAACATACGGTCCAGTGTGGTGGTGAGCTCCTGAAATCCCAGCACTCAGAAGGCTGGAGCAGGAGGATTGCCGAAAGTTCAAGGTCAGCCTAGACTACATACTGAGTTCAAGGCCAGCCTACACTACATAGCAAGACCCTGTCTCAAAATGAACAAACAAACAAAAACATATATATGTGTGTGTGTGTGTGTGTGTGTGTGTGACATTATTATTAACTGTGGTCACCCTACTTGCCATACAACACTAGAACTTCTTCCTTCTAACACTGAACCCATTGACTGGCCTCTGTCTATCTTCCTCAACCCTCCCATGCCTCTGATAATTATTGGATAAAAAAGCAGGATTGTCTAAACCATGGGAAAAGGTCATTGGAGGTGAAGTAATGTATAGTCTGCACATATGTATCAAACTGCCTTCCTGAGACACATGTTCAGAAAACAGCTGCCTTAGCATATTAGAGGGTAGAGTTTTTGAGCTTTCTAACATCAAAAGCTCACCCATCGAACACTTGATCAGCCCTAAATGAGAAGACTCAGTTATTTTAACAAAAACAGCCTTTAAATTCTGAAAAGTAACCTAAGTCACCATGATCATCATAAGCTGTACTTAGGCAATGTGCTGTCCAACCAATTGGAAACTAATAATGTATTTCTCAGCTATATGATTTTATCTTTTCAAAAAGCCCAACTCCTAGCCAGGCGTGGTGGCTCATGCTTGTAATCCTAGCATTTGGGAGGCTGAGGCAGGAAGATCCTTGAGAGTTTGAGACCAGCCTGGGCTACAAAGTGAGCTCAAGCCCTGCCCGAACTGCATAGAGACCCTGTCTCAAAAAAAGACAAAAAAAAAAAAGTCCAACTTCTTCCTTTATTGATCATTTCTATATTATATTTTTAGTGTCAATCTTTATAAGACTTAATCTTTATTATTTACCTTCTACTAACTTGGGGTTGAGTTTGTTTTTGTTTTCTAGTTTCTTGAGTTGCAGGGTTAGATGGAGGTCGTTCTTCTACAGATCTTCAAAAATTATATAATATAGGACAACCCTTCTAGAGGTAAAGCATTTTGAAATAGTAGTGTCTAACTTAGAATGGTAGCATAACAGACAAGACAGAATAGCCCAGAAAAAAGTCCTAAGTAAAATAACTATTTATCAAATTTGATTATAAGAAATGTTCAGTTTTGTAATCATCTTCCAGATAAAGAAAGAAATAAAGTAGTGGGGCTTTTTTGTTTATTTGTTTGGCTGGGGTTTTTTTTACCATTCTACCAGTTAATCTTTGAAATACTGTCACTGTCCCATAGGAAAAGTACAATGGTATACTGGTAGCATTATTGATTGCAGCAGTCCAAATGCGTAAAAGTTGAAAATGGTATCAAAAGCCATCAAAGTGTTGTTATTCTTTAATCTGGTAACTTCACCTTTGACCTGGTAACTTTGTCTTTGATGTTTCTTTTGAGAAATACTGGTAGGAGGAATCATGTGCATGTATGTGTGCATGCTTGTATACATATATGTATAAAAATTTTAGTGTCATTTACCTATTTGGCAATAGTTTAAATTTCTAATAACAGGAGAAATAAGAACATAGTATGACTACTCAACAAGACAATTTGTTGTCCTGAGAGGACTAATATTACCATGGAAAATGCTAATGGATGAAATATAGCTTTTAAAAAGGAGGTTACAAAATACATTATTTTTATGTGCCAATAATCAATTATGTAAAAATTAACTTGAAACAGACTAGAAGGAAACATCAGCATAATCTCAGTTGCTGTAAGTATATTGAGGATTTTTTTCTTTGTTCTCTATTTTAAATACTGTAAAGTGCTGTTTTATTAAAAAGTTTTAACTAGTGTATCAATTAGGTGCTATTGTATTTAATAAGAGTACTGTTAGAGAAACTCAGTTATAGTTTTGTTTGAAACCTGGAATTCAAACTAAATTGAATCCTATATTTAGTTTAAAAAATATTGTGGAACTTTGGCTAGAAAATGTAAGTCTCTGCTTTAGTTTCATGCCTAAGAATGAATCCCCAATAAAGACTGGCTAATCATGGCCATTGACCTTCATGCTGTCTTTTACTTGCTAAGCACCCAGCCAAGTGCTTTTATCTGCATTGCCTTTATTTGGTTTTTGATTGTTGATTGTTATTTTGTAATATGAAGACAGAACCTTGGGCCTCATACAGCTAGGCAAATGCTCTACCACCAAACTACACCCCTAGTCCCTGTCCTTTACTTAATCCTTACCGCCACCTTTGGAGCCAAAGGATTTGAGTTGTAAACTTCTAGCATCAGTTAAGGAATAGCAAGGCCACAGCATAGTTAGTTGTGCAGTGCCCCACTTTGAGGGCCATACAGGAGCCCATGAGGTATGGCCACATAAAACAAGATACCCTGGCCGCATGGCTGTTAAATGGGGCTTCCAGTGTCGTCATGCTGTCAGTAGAGGCCAAGTCAATATTCTCATTGTGCCTTGGTAGGATGTGGGAGCAGGAATAAGCAAGGGGGGGATTAATATGTCTCTTCTTTTTAAAAACTGTCCTTGAGAAAAATGGGAAATTATAGTATCTTCTTATGACTGAATCCTTTCAAAATTTTTAAGCATTTGAGGTATTTCTAACTTTTATTTAAAATGATATATTTTGTATATTTTGATTTATGTTTATCTTGGTGATGCTTGTAATTCCACCCAGACCTCCAGTTATTTAAAAAGTTTTTATCTTGTTTTTGTTTTTTAAGATGAAAAGAGGTTTAATTAGTACTCCTCCATCAGATATGCTTCCTACAACAGAAGGTGGAAAGTCAAATGCCTGGTTACGGCAAAAAAATGCTGGTATATATGTTCGACCTCGGCTGTTCTCCCCCTATGTGGAAGAAGCAAAGGTAATGAAGCCACTTGAAAATATTAGACAACTTTATTACAGACCATATGCACAGCCTGGCGTGGTTCAAGGTCAGCCTGGACTACACAGCGAGACCCTATCTTTAAAAGAAAAAGGCACAAAAATATTTATCATGCGTTATTTAAATGTTTGGAAATCGTCGTAAGTGTCCAGTAATAGGGAAAATGAAAATAAATTCCAGCTTGACTACTTAACAGAATTGTTTTGTGAAATGTTTAATTATCAAACATGTTTAACACTTTTGTCTCTTTGAGACAGGGTCACGATGCGATTCGGGCTGGCCTTGGGCTCACTTTGTAGTCCAGGCTGGTCTTAAACTTACAATCCTCTTGCCTCAGCCTACTGAGCACTGGGATTACAGGAGTAGGCCACCATGTCCAGCTAAACTTAGGCCAACTAAAAAGGCAATTTTTTTCCTCATGTTGCCTTGCAAATTATTATCATGTTACCAGAATAGTTGTCAAAAAATGTTATGATCTTGAGGATAGGGAAAATGTTCTGAAAGAATTGCATTCATTTTATCTTCCTTGATAAACTACACACTTGATCATAGTTCTAGAATAGTTGACTTCTGGGAGTTGACTTTAGTTTTAGGGTAAGTCTACAAAACTAAGACAATTTCACCTAGTCAATAATTACCATTGTGGGGATTTAGCTCAGCAGTGTAAGTGCCTGCCTGGCAAGTACGAGGTTATGATCAATCCCTGTACCAAAAAAGAAAGAAAAATTTACCATTGTGAAAAAAAATAATTACCATTGTGTAATTTTCCAAAAAATATGGTAACCACAGTGAAACCTTGCAAGTTTTAACTAGATATATTCACACAAAAGAATTTGGGGATGGAAAAAAAAAAAGAATTTGGGGATGGCCTTTCAAGCAACTAACAGCCTTTAAAATCAGGAATCACCAGCAACCTTTCTGAAATAAAGTTAAGAGGGAAAATAATGTGCTGTGGAGTAGAATTAAGTTGACTTCAATTTTCCCTCATTTGAATTTCTAGAATTTCCAGTACTAACATAAACTGTGAAAAATCTGTTTTCTTGACGGGGTTGAGATATATACCTTTTATTGGATGGTTGACATTTTTGGTAGCTCTAAAACAGGAGAAAAGGAGAATGGTGGCGTCTGGGCTTTATGGAACACTTGCAGTGCTGAATGCTGCTCGTGTAACTGAGGCCTTCACAGAGGTCAGTCTGGTGACCCTGCGAGACCAGCGCTGCTTCTCTTGTCTCCAGGCAGGGTAGCTGGAAGCTGCTGTGGTTCTCTGGAACTTCCCTGTTCCTGCGATGGCTAAGCTTACCCCTGAGAAGATAATTTTCCCCAATCAATGTGGAACATGTTTACATAGTACCTCATTTTGGTTGTCCTATAGTTAGGTGAGACAGATGCTCTTGAAACTAATTTAACAAAAATGAGCTTATCTGTAGCTTAAATTTAATATTAACTTTTAATATTTTGAACATTTTTGTTGGATCTGATACTTAGCACATGTATACTTTGTTTGTTTGTTTGTTTGTTTTGTCTTTTTCCTTTTTATCGGTACCGGGGATCGAACTCACGACTGCCTGCTTGCAAGGCAGGAGCTTATTCCGCTGAGCTAAATCCCCAGCCCTGTTTGTTTGTTTTTTTGTCTTTCTCGTTTTTTTGTCGGTACCAGGGTTCGAACTCATGACCGCCTGCTTGCAAGGCAGGCGCTTCTGCCACTGAGCTAAATCCCCAGCCCCTTATACTTTGTTTTTTATAATAATTTTGTGTAGGGCTCTAGCTCAGTGGCATAAGTGCCTGCCTGGCAATCAAGACGTTGTGAGTTTGATCGCTGGTACCAAAAACAAATTCTGTGTAGCTCACTGGCCTAAGTGCCTGCCAGGCAAGCACAAGGTCTTGAGTTCAATTCCCAGTACCAAATAATAATAATTATTAATTAATAATATATTAATAATTATTTTGTGTATGAATTATTTCTGAATAATTTTATGTCCTTCAAATTTCTTCTTCTTTTTTTTTTTTTTAAATCAGTACCAGAGATCGAACTCACGACTGTGTGCTTGCAAGGCAGGCGCGTAAGCCACTGAGCTAAGTCCCCAGCCCCTTTTTTAATTTTTTATTTATTTATTTTTTTATCGATACCAGAGAGTCCTTCAAATTTCAAAAACTTGTCATTGAAAGTAGATTTTTCAGAGGGTGATTGTACCATTACTAAGACTCCAAACAGAGTCTTCAAAAATTAAAGAGATAGGTTTATTTTCTCCTTTCACCACTAATTTAAAACTTCATAAATGAGAAACAGTAAATGAATTCCCTTTTTATGTGGTGAAAATCATAATCTTGCTTCATTTGTGATTGAATAAAAATGAAGAATTAACCAGTTCTCTTCATACTGGATTTCTGTTTTAGTCAGTGCTGGACGAGATGATGGTGGAACAAACAGACCTTGTGCGGTTGCGGATGGTCAGAATGTCCAACGTGCCAGACACACTTTACATGGTCAGCAATGCTGTGCCACAGTGTTGCCACATGATCAGCCACCAGCAGATCAGCAGTAACCAGTCAAGCCCTCCTTCAGTGGTAGCCAATGAAATTCCAGGTAAGCTAGGGCCTTTTATTAGGCATTTATATTTAAATGAATCATTTGTTATTTTTATGTGTGATTGCTGATGTTTGAACCTGTGTGTCTGTGTGTGTATACATACTAATTCTCTACACATTTCAATACCCTTTATGTATGGTTCTTAAAGATTAAATGCTTGTAAGCCAATTTTTTGTTTTGTATTTTATATTAATGTATGCGTAGTTAAAATAATTATTAAGTTTTCCAGTTTAGCCTAGGATTTCTCAGCTTGGCCCTGTTGTTGAAGCTGGTAGGAAGCTTTCTGGTATATAGTGGATGGTCAGCAGCAGCACCCCTGGCCTGTACTCTGTAGATGGCTATAGCACACGTGTGTATATACACACACACACGCCTGCCTCTACCTTTGTAACACTGTTTTGGAAGCTTGTGTATCTAGACCTTGTCACATGTGTCCTGTATGACAAAATGACCTCTGTTGAGAACCACTTGTTTAAAGGAGTTCAGATTTTTCATCACTGTAGGATATTTTTCACATACAATAATAACCTTTGGTAGAGTAATAAGAACTTATACTTTGAATCTATTTGTGTTCCCCAAAAATGTGATCACTGTTGGTTCCCAAGGGCTCCAGTTTTCCAGGCTATCCTCTGTAAAGTTTACTAACGAGAAGACTTGTGTCGTATGACTGTAGGGGAATTGGTCATAGATTGAGGAACATGTCCAGAAACATCTGACCATCAATTATTGACTTTAACCAGTGGTCCCTAATGTTAATTTCAAAGTAAGAAAAACAACTGTGATCTGGTGGTCAGCACTTTGTAGCTCTTGCCAATTGCCTTAACAGTGGCAAAATGCAAAGTGAAGACTAGCAGCTGGGCATGATGGTATGCATCAGTGGTCCCAGTTACTCAGGTGGCTGGAGTGAGAGGAGCACTTCAGTGCAGGAGTTTGACACCAAGACTGGGCAGCATAGCAAGACCCTCTCTCCAGAGAATGAACAAAGTAAAAATCAAACTCAGCAAACTATAGCAGTAGAAATAACACCATTCATTTCTGCTTATAAACGTGTTTCAGTGAAGGATAAAAGACAGTAATGGCAGGACTTTTTATTAAATGCATACATTTTATTTTAGACTAAAGTCTTTTTATCAGTCATTGCCTTATCAGGTTTGGCTACTGTATGTTTATTAAGATATACTTGGAATAAAAGAATGGAGCTTTAGTAGTAGCAGTCTTTTAGGCTTAAGTTAATGCAGTTGAAATCGCCATTATTTCATCTTTGAAGGTAATCTGAAAAGCCCAAAGACATTCACAGTTACACATGCTCAGGAAAATAAGGCTCTTCTTTGTAGTTTAGTTCATAAGTTATGGCCCTGTTCTGGTGTCACCCTAGACTTCCCAGATCTTGCCCACCTCTCCAACAAAAGGCGGTATAGATTACTGGAGAAAGTTGATAGGCTCGTATCCTGGTTCTGCCACTTCGTGTGACTTTGGACAGTCTGTTTTCTCCCCTGAACATTAATTTCCTCATCTGCAAAATGGGATAACATGTCTCAAGGACTGTTGTAAGGGTTTAATGAAGTATCATTAGTAATATGCTGAGGCATTTGCATGGCACAAAATAAGCACTTAGTAACCCTTAGCTCCACTTTCCCCCAAAAGTAATATTCAGTCAGCACTGCATAGTCAGGTTATATCTCATCTATTTATAGACCTCATCATCTCTCTCTAGCCCTATGGCCACAGCCTTAGCTCAGATTCTTAATTGGTATTCTGCTTTTTCTCCCAGGGTTGACTTCATAAATAGTTTAGACTCTGTGGGCCATCTAGTCTCTATCAGGACCATAGCAGTGCCTTAGTTCATGAACACTTGTTTGCAAACTGCATCAAGTGACAAACATGATCACAGCTGTGTTTCCTATCCAGACACAAACATGGCTATCTTTTCAAAAATCATAGAACAAATTACAGTTGTGAGCCATCAGACACCCATACACTGTGCCTAATGAATGAGTGGAAGTGTGCATTAGTGAACTTCACACAAAAGAGTAGCTGGCTTACTTGATTTAGCTCACAGGCCAGTTTGCCTCCCCCTGCTTTGCATAACATCACACTGCGCTCGCCACACTGCTGCTCTGATCCTGCCATCACCCAGTACATGACTACAGGTGCATTTAAATTCTGTTAACCATGACTTGTCCCTGTTCACCTTTCCAGCATCCTCTCTCAACACTTGCTGGCTTATACCATTGAGTCCTGCATTTTGTTGGCAAGCCAGTTATTTGTGCTGGGCTCTCTTTGGCTTGTATATTTTACACGCACCTAGTCTTTCTTGGCATTCCTTCATCCCACTTTCTTTTATCTGCCGAGCTCTCTGTTACTCTTCAAGACTCTGTGAGACAGATTTTCCTTTGCCTAGGAAATCTTCCCTTTCTGCTCTCAGTCTGGGCCAAGTGCCTCTTCTTCCCAGACTTTTAACATCCTTAGTTTCTCTCTCCATTAGCAATTCTGTACCCATAATGTGCTCATTTACTTAGTTTGAGTCAATACAGCAAGACGTTTTTGAGGGCAAAGATCACATCTTTCATTCTGTGCACCCTAGAATGAAAGACAGGGTCTCACTATGTAACCCAGGCTGGCCTTAAACTTGCTGTGTAGCTGAGGGTGGCCTCGATCTTGTGGTAATTCTCCTGCCTCAGCCTCACGAGTGCTGACATTACAGGTATATGCCCAGCTCAAATGAATATATTTAGAAGACTTAGGAAATATCTTGATTGGGAAGAGGATACAAGCAAGTAAAATTATATTTGAGCAATACAACTCAGGATATGTTTGGTATTTTCAGGAGATTTTGGCCACAATGAAATTGTAAAGCCTTGAAAAATAGAGACATACAAATTAATATGTTGCCAGTAAACTAAATTACTATCTGACAAATTTAAGAGAAGACACTAATATAAAACACATGCAATTGTTTTACTGTGCTTACGGGGTGTTCTTTCATCTAGCGCAGGAATTTTCCCTACATGCTATTTTTCTCCTTCCAGTTCCTCGTCTCCTCATCATGAAAGACATGGTCAGACGCCTGCAGGAACTGCGGCACACGGAGCAGGTGCAGAGAGCCTACGCACTGAACTGTGGGGAGGGTGCCACGGTCAGCTATGAAATCCAGATTCGAGTACTGCGGGAGTTCGGACTCGCGGATGCTGCTGCAGAGCTCTTGCAGGTAGGACATGGCATTAAATTGTTTAAAGAGTGAGGCCTGCTCATCAGCCAGGCAGTGTGTGACAAACATCGATGTGACCGTTGCAGAGTTCTACCCCAATAGAAATAGCAGAGAAAGTAGAAAATTCTGAACCTTACAAATACTAATTTGGGTACTAGATTTTAGAGTTAGCTTACCATGATACTTAGAGGTAGGTCTTCAGTTTGCACCCCTTGTTTCCTCTCTCTTTTCTCGCAAAAGAGATTTTTTGCATATAGGTTCAAACTGAAGCCTATGAATCATGTCATGAACGCTTAAAAACCTAGCAAAGAGGGTTGGGGATTTAGCTCAGTGGCATAAGCACCTGCCTGGTAAGCACAAGGTTGTGAGTTCGATCCCTGGCAGCAGGAAAAAAAAATAGCAAAGAAAAAACTCATCTCTGATAATTATCAGGTACAAAGGCAGTACATTGGTTTTATAGTTAGGATTATAAAGTAGAGGGCCACTAAATCAGAGCCTTAAATAAAACTCAACTTCATCTTGTCAAATGGTATAGCTTCTTGCCACTGACTTCAAACTTTGTCATCCTTGATCCTGTCAGAGGATAAATATGGCATGGAGGAGTTAAGGCAGCAGGCCATTTTAAGGTTTTTGAGTTTTGTTTGGTTCTTTTCCCACTGTGGTTTCCATCCCTAATGTACTTAGTCTTACAAGAGATGACTGATCTGCTTGCCACAATAGTTGGGAGAGCAGTCTCTTAGCAGCTGTGTCTTAAGCTTCCTAGGCTACACTCTGTCCTTTGTACTATTATTAAAGTGATTCCTGCACTGCACATGTTTATGGCCTAGAAAACTCTTAATACCTTATACTTTTGTTGAATGTGGTTTTTGTTAAATATTTAACTCTCTTGGCCTGTAAATCTCCATCTATAAAATTCACTAATAAATGTCTTTTGTCTTTTAATCTTTCAGAACCCTCACAAATTCTTTCCTGATGAACGTTTTGGGGATGAAAGTCCACTCCTGACAGTGAGACAGCCTGGGAGATGTCGCATTAACAGTACCCCTACTGCGGAAACCATGTTTACAGACCTGGACTCTTTCATGGCTTTCCATCCACCCCTGCCCCCCCCTCCCCCTCCATACCACCCTCCTGCTACTCCAATCCATAACCAACTCAAAGCAGGCTGGAAACAAAGACCTCCCAGTCAGCACCCTTCACGTTCGTTTTCTTACCCCTGTAATCATTCACTGTTTCACTCCAGAACAGCACCCAAAGCTGGCCCTCCCCCAGGCTATTTGCCAGGTGTTAAAGCAGCACCACCTGATTGCACCAACTCCACAGGGCTGGGGAGACAGACAGTCGCTGCTGCCGCTGCAGCTGCTGCTGCCTCAGCAGCAGTGGCCTCTGAAAAACAAACGGTAAGTCAGCACCTAAGTCACACGCCCCAAGTGAAAGAGTGTCGGATATGAGGATCTAATCCTCAGCCATGTTACTGACAGGCTCCAGTGTGCAGCCCAGAGCCTTGCAGAGAGAGGAGGAATTGAGTATCAGCTTCTGGGAAAGGCAGGTGCCAAGGGACGAGAGTGTCATCCTTCCTTAGCTGCCGGTGTTATACGTGGTGTAGTGACCGAGCAGGACAGATGGACTTGTGATCAAGCCCATGTCTGGATTCTGTCCCTGGCTTCTGGAACAAAATGCTTCTGTGGGACAAGGAAGGGAAGTTACTTTACTCAGAGCCAGGTGTCCCATCAGGACCAGTTGGCAAAGACTCCCCCACTCAGAAAACAAACAGAAAGTTGGTCCTCATGCTTGTCTCTGCCTCTGGCCTGCTCACTTTCAGCTTCTTGTTTTCCTTGGAGCCTTAGGAGCTAGGGCAAGTGGGTGGTAACTGAGAGGATTCTTCACCTGCTTTTTGTACTGCAGCAGAGGTCAGATAGCTTTATGTAATACATTTGAGAAAATAAGTGATTTTTAAGTCTTCCTACACTGTTAAGTGCTGACAGCAGCATTGAATAGAGAGAAAAATAAAAACTACATGTATTCAGAAAAGCTTCAATATAAAAGCGCTCATTGGAAATGTTGGGTTAGTATACACCTTGAGTCAGATCCCGTCTCACATACTTCTCCCTCAAGCTGCTCGCTGTCCTCCTCCGACCCCTAAAAACAACTTTCTTAAAGGTGACTTATTAGTATGTTCATTGTAGTCTTCACTATAATAAAAATTGAAAGCTGGATGTGTTGACACACACCTGTGATGCCAGCACTTGGGAGGCTGAGGCAGGAGGAAGCAGAGTTCAGGGTCAGCCTAGACTGTATAGCAAGTTCAAGATCCTGTTTCCCAAAAAAAGGAAATGACCTAAATGTCTAATAGTAGAAGATTGGTTAATGGTAGACTATTATGCAGTAATTTCAAGTGGTGATCACAAAATTTAGTGGCAGGATTAAATGTGCACTAAATTTTGTGAAAATTGAAAAAGATGAGGTAAATTTTTTATAATACTAATTTTAGGGCAAGTTGGGAGTTTTTTCTGTATTTTTCCATATTTTAAAAATTCTTACATTAAGTATGTATTACTTTTGATGTCAGGAAACAGAATCAGTGACCATGAGGAATTGTTGTGCCTTTTTTTCCCTTTTCTTTTTAACCGCCCCCCCCCCCATTTGTGTCTCAGGGTACACAGCCCGTGCTGAATGATCTGATGCCAGATATCGCCATGGGCATATCCACACTGTCACTCAAGGACAGGAGGCTTCCAGAACTTGCGGTAGACACAGAAATAAGCCAGCCAGTCTCTGAAGCAGGAACAGGGCCTCCCCAGCATCTCTCGTGTGTTCCACAGAGGCATACACATACTTCTCGGAAAAAACATACACTAGAACAAAAACCAGACACTAGAGAAAATCCGCAGGAATACCCGGATTTCTATGACTTCTCAAAGGCTGCTTGCAGCCCTTCCACTCCTGCTCCTGGCAGATGTGCCCCTTCCCCTCCACAAGGCGGATATTTTGGTCCTGATTTGTACAGCCACAGTAAGGCATCACCAAATGGCTTAAAGTCAGCCTGTCTACCCAGTCAGACCTCTCCTAAAACACAGGAAGAAGCAAGGAGAGAGTACCCACTTTCCTCTGATGGCCATTCACACAGGCAGAAGAGTGAGCTGATTCGTCTGGATGTTGTTGAGCAACCTCCCCCACGGTCTGACTTTCCTTTGGCAGCACCAGAAAATGCTGGTAATGGTCCACCCCATGTCAGGGGACGGAATGGAGTAGAAACTGACTTGACTTTCGGTCTGACTCCTACTCGACCTTCTTCACATTCTGCATGTAGCTCCGAGGCTCCAGAAGAACGACCCAGTAGAAGACTGGCTGACAGTGAGTCTCTGGGCCACGGAGCTCAGAGAAGCACAGATTTGGAAAGGGAAGATTCCATAAGCAGAGGAAGGAGGTCTCCAAGCAAGCCAGACTTCCTCTACAAAAAGTCTGCCCTCTGAGAGCCACCTCCAAGTCCCCTGTGCCTGAGAAGTGAGACATCCCATTGAGTGATGTAACCCAACAACTTACTGACCAGTTTATCAATGCCAGCTCAGTTTCACATTGTTTTATTCTGGGTTTTGTGTGTATATATGTTTATTACACATGGCATGCTAAGAGGGTTACTTTGAATGTTGCATCTGTCTGTTTTATGTTTGAACAACTGTAGGGAACCATTTTAAAGAGCAAGCAAGCTGGCACTTTTTTTCCCTCTTTATATTGGAAAATTTTGCACTTGTACATTTATTTTATCTGTATTGATTTTATAGCAGTATGTTAAACTTTATTGCCACATTTAAAAGACTGTATTTTCATACTTTTTTGCATTTTATCTTTCATCTACCAATTTCCATGTGCATTGGATTGCACACTAAGATGTATTTTCTTATGAAATAGTTCCGTGTTTATTTTTTAATTATAGAAATTCCAAAGAACAGCACATCAAAATGCTCCTGTCTTTTTAGTAATTGTTTTAGTTCAGAAATCTTCCTGCTCAGTTCCCATAAATCTAATGTCATTCTTCAGTAAGTCTTGGGAGCTGGTCTTCATTCCCCCAGCAAGAGTCCATTCCAGGGTCCTGAAATTTTCGGGTCAGTAAGAACAGGAAGAAGAAAGGCCTTTGGTGCCCAAGCTGAAGCTGTCACTTTGTTCACAGTGTGGACGCTGTCAGGACCCTGCAGAGTCTGCTTATGTGGATTAGGGTGTTGCAGATTTGCTCACTGGATGAGGCTCGAAGGAGGTCTCCCTAGGAATGGGAAACTGGCAGAAATCTGAGAGGATTTCTGGCTCTGTGACACTTGGCTTCCCTGGTTGAAAGAACTGCCTGCTGCCTTTAGTTGTCTTGCTTTCTATGAGAAAAAACAAAAGGGCTTCAGTCTTATGGTTGTTATTTGGTATTTGTAAGCATATGTTTCCTTTTAAATGTTTTTCAAAGTATGTCTGAATTTTGTTGTCCTATAAAAAGTTGTTGTATAATACATAATGCTTTTTCACCAAAAAAGAAGAAGAAGAAATTTGTTTGCAGTTAAACACTACATGTCCTACTTGAACTTCACTAGGGATGTGCTGGTTCGGCATTTACTGAACCACTGAGCACATGGGGTCTTTAAGATCCTCTCCCTTGGAAGGGCAGCATGTGAGCTTAGGACTGTTTTTCTTACTCTCCTATGTAAATATGTTAGTATTTGAGTTTTTAAATCACTTAGACATCATTTGAACTTTCACTTTGTATTTTTACAAACACAGCCGTAGCACTTAGAAGAAAAGAGACTTCCTAAATGTCCCTTCATAGGAAGGATATTTGGAAACCTCTTTTCAAGATATATATATGTCACAGATATATATCACAGATATATATATATATATATATATATATATATATATATATATGTCACTATGAATCACTCACACTCTAAAACTATGCAGGGCTTGGGAGCCTTTACAAGCTACCATATAAATGAATTACATGCACTTTGAAATAAATAGGTTCTATTGGGTGTCAACAACTCTGATTTCTCCCAAAACTGTAGTTTCTCTTATGGTCTTTTCCTACTTTACCCTGTGGATATACACTCAGGAATAATCTGACATTTTAAAAAATCCTAATAGTAGATAATCTCAAAGATGGGAACCATGTCAGTCTGTCTGTGTACACCGTCAGACTGCCGCCCCTTGTTCTGCTGCCTGACTAGTCAGCTGCTACTAGTGCATTTATTGGCCGTGGTGGTGTGTTCTGAGCTGTTAACCTCCCAGAGGTCACATTCATTTGCTGTGAGATCGGCTCACATCACCTTTATGGCTCCTTTTTTAAAGATGGAAAAACAGGACTGTCCTCATTTTTGAATTTTAGCTCTTTTAATAGATGATGGTATGTTTGAAGTCCAATCTCTTCAGAAAAAAATTAAGCCTATGATATCCCTTATTGTGTGGTTAGACACATGTGTAGACATGAACTGTTTTAGATTTCTCAATCAGACTGTTCTGGGTTGATACTGAAGATAAAAACCTACTTTGGGAGTGAAAAAAAGCTTTCTCATCTCTGACCTGTTTGTTTTTGCTATTTTTCCCCACGTTAGACCATTGTTGTTGATCCCACACATTAAATTTTTGAGTGTTCATTAAATATTTTTTATATCTCCAAATGGAATTGTAAAAATTAGTGATCATTATTCATAGTATTGTTTAATTTATGAAGTTTGCTTTTCATAGCTTAGTTTACCAGGCTAAACTATGTGTATAGAGGGAAATCTTGCTTTAATCTGTGGGATTGTGGATTAATGTGATTTGCAGAAGATAAACGTGGTTTTTATGTGTGTTAGGTTAGGTGTTGATGGACTTGTAATGTATCTTGTGAAGTATGGTTAATAGGGTAGGTTGAATAGCTATGTGCCTCTAGCTTTTGAACCCATCTATTGAATCTTTTTCAGTGCTGTACTAAGATAAATGTGAAGTCTGAGCAAAGTTGCTCTCAGAAAAGAAAAATAATGTATAATGTAAAACTTAGGAACAGGAACTGGCATTTCACTTGGTATAAAACTGTATTGAGAACCAAATCACAAAAATTGCAGATCTCCTTTTGAGGCCATGGACAATCAGGCCATTTGGACAATCATTACTTGCTGCGCCCGCCGTGTGTTAGGTTAGAGAACCACCAGTGAGGTGCTAGCGCAGAGGAGGAGAGTCAGATTTCTTAAAGATGCTGTTGATCCTTTTCTATGTGATTGTTTTAGTCTTGTGATTTTGAAGAGTAATTTAAGTTCAAAAGCAACCTGTGGTTCCTGGGGAAACAGTATCAGCATGAAAAGCCAAAATCACTCGCATGCCCATCTCACACATGCCCCCTTTAACTTTATTTCTAGGCACGTGTTCCTGGACCCAAATAGCCTGACGTGTTGATAACCTGCTAACTTCTAAGGGTTTTTGCAGACTTTTTTTTTTGACACAAGGTCTCACTATGTATCCCAGGCTGGCCACGAACTCACAGTGATTCTGCTTCCTCAGCCTCCCTAGCGCTGAGATTACAGGTGTGCGCCACTATGCCTGGCTTATATTTATCTTTTTCTAGAACTGTCTGTGAAACTAATTCTTGTTTTTACTTTCTCAAAAACTGGTTTTTCATTTTTGAGTTTTTTGGCGTGTTTTGTTTTGTTAATGCTTGTCATCCTTCATCAGTTTTCCTTTGGTTGGTAGTTGGGGTTGTAGCAGCAGGCAGTCTTGGACATTTGAACAAAGTTGATGCTGCAGAAGGTGAAGGGGAGAGGAGATGCAGTTCCCGTCGACGGAGGCTCTAAGCTGACCTCCAGAGTTGAAACATCAACACTGCCCATTAACTACTCAGCAAGGTAGATCTCTCTCTCTCTCTCTCTCTCTCTCTCTCTCTCTCTCTGGTGGAACCAGGGATCAAACTCACAACCTTGCACTTGCCAAGCAGGTGTTTATGCCGCTGAGCTAAATCCCCAGCCCCTTCTTTTTCCTTTTTTTCACTATTTAATTCCATGGCTGGTTTCTAGTGCCCCAAGGCTGAGATAAGCCTTGGTCAGGTCAGTTTGCTGTGTGGCTCTGGGACCTGAGGATGCCAGGCTCAAATCCTGTTCCATGGCTCATGTTATTCTCAGTCTTTAGCATCCCTTGCATGTAAATATCCTCCTCTTGATGAGCAGCTTTGCCAGGACAGCATCAATATCACATTCAAGAATCCTTGACAATTCTTTTGTTGATCTTTAATCCCTAAACATTGGGTCCACTTTTCCTCACCTATATTTCCTATTTTGCAGAGATTTGGGGAATTTTATCGGTGCAAGTAAATCATGCCCTTCTAGCCATAAGGCCTTAAGGTATGAGAACATGCTTGCGCCATGTTTCTCTACCAAGTCAGCTTCCATCATTTCCTGTCCAACACCATGTAGGAAACTTGCATAAGAGAGACCTTCATCAATAAATGCTTTCATAGTCATATATGGAGTCATCTCAGCAAAGGTTGTCATTAACTTGAGAGATGAAGGCACAGCCAGTGGGTTGATTCCCTAGTTCAAGAAGACTCAAGTATTTTCACATCCAGTCAGACGTGTAAAGGTCTGCCGTTGTTGCGGTTGCACCCACCCTGACAGCAGCAAACACAGCATTAAATCATTTTCTTATGTGCTCAAGAGGTTCTACAGTGACTTCCAAAGTCACAGCCTTGTTCTGAAGGTCATCTCTGGCTTTAGTCCCAGGAAAAACCCACAGTGCATGGATTCCCTTTTCATTTGGAAGTCCTCTATCCAGTATCCTGAAAATGCATCATACAGTTGTGGGAAACTGGGGGGAAGGGTTGATAGGACCTCTCTTACACCCCCTCCTAGTGCTCTTGGATGCGCTCGGCAGCTGGCCCATCGTTGTAGTGACTGCTAAGACCACTTGGCAGGAGAAGGAAGGGTAACTGGTTGACCTGCACCACCTACTTCTAATATAAAAGATGTGGTATCCCAAATAGGTATTTACATAGTGTTGTATTTGCCTTTTAGGAAAAAATGTATCTCATGAAAGACTTGTAAGATAGTTGTTTTATAATTACAAGGCATTCTTTTTATCTTTGGACAGAATTCAAAGGGAAATGCTTTGACTTCAGGTGTTCAGTTGACCTTCAGCTCTCTGTCATCACTAATGAAGCTGCAGTGGCGGGTGCTATTCCCAAGTGTGCAATGGTTCACTTTGTCTACTTGTGGTTTACTTTCAAACCTTATTACAGAAAATCTTGCTGAAAAGGTTACCATACTCACCGCTGGAAGGTATTTCACTTTTTCATCAACCCTGTTGTATGAACAATGTTTTAGGAAATGTTATCTTTTTGTCCTATCAGTTGCAGTAGCTGTCGTGTAGTTATTGTCTGGTCAAGTCCTTTGATTTTTTTTTTCTTCTTCAGAAAAATCCTCATACCGTGTGTTAGTCTTTCGGTATTCTGGATGTGGTTGTTTTCATAGAAGGGTTACTTGGAAGTGTGTGTCTTGAAAATAACCTCTGGTGTTTGTGTGTGTATGGGTGGGTTCTGTCTGAGATCAGATAAACTGCGGAAGCTTCCTGGGGCACCTGCATGTAACTGTGTACCTCGGCTGCCTGGGCAGGCCGTGTGGAAACCTCCTCTTAGGTGGGATGGCTCAAAGCTAAAGGTTCCTGAATTCCACTTGCTGTGTAGGTGCCACATCCATGCTTGAGAGATGTGGGGCCTTCTACACCACTGCATTTCTTGTGGTTGTGCTGTTACTGGTATAAAGTCAAGTGCCTTCAATGCTAAAGGCTCAGAAATTTTTCTTAAACTGATTTCATGTCCTATGCAAGTGTTTTCTACAACCTGCATAACCAGTACTTTGTAAAACTTGTTTACGCTTCAATTGTACATAGTGTTTTTTAAAGAAATATATAGTATTTTTATTTAGGTACCTCCAAACTTGAATTTGTCTGTGTGAAGCATTGTAAAACAATACATTTCTCTTTTGAGTACCATTACAGTTGTACAGAGGTTTTCACTGGTTCTATTTTTCTACTGTTACTGATAAGCATGTAACACTGACTTTATCCTACATATAGTTGGCATTTCAAATAAATGGCTTGTATAGAACCCGCTGAGTTGGATAGTCTGTTTTGTAATGTACTACACAGTCTTCATTCTTGAACATGCTTGTACCCCTCAAGAATAGAATCAGGCTTTCCAGGTTGATCTCCTCTAACATTTCAGTTATTCAGAGACATTATTATTTATGATTTTCTTGGAAACAACACATCATTCCGAATTGTCAAGTTCTTCATATTATTTCTCTGGGACATTTTTGAAAGATTTTATTTTACAATTTGAGCAAAAAAATTCCCCGGGAAGGGGTCACCAGGTGCACCAGCCACCTGGAACCCTTGGGCCTCTGCCATTGAGACCCTGCAGTGTGGCCCTGCAGACACTAGAAACCCCCTGGCTGAGGTGCTCAGCAGCTTTTCTCTTTCAGATTCCAGCTCCTTCAGGTTTAATGTTTTTTAAAAAGAAAACTGGTGCTTTGGTCCAGAGAGAGACTCTTGAGGGGGAAAAAAATATGCAAATAGAAAAATGTTCTGATTTTTTTTTTTTTTTTGAGAGGGTCGCTGCAGTTCAGGCTGGCCTTGACCTCACAGCAGTTATCCTTCCTCATCCTCCCAAGTGCTGGAATTATAGGCATGTACTGCCATACCCAACTCTAATTTCCATTTTTAAAATTGCTATAAAATAGCATTTATTAAAATTTCTGTTTTAATTATTTCTCTGACAAGTTCTACCCAACCACTTCCCCTTTGTGCCTCACTAGACAAGTCTTTCTTTGTATTTTGTACCCATCTTAGGGATAACTGTGGAGACTCAAGATAAAATCTGCAAATTCTGCCAGGGATTTAGCTCAGCAGCATAAGCGCCTGCCTGGCAAGCATGAGGTCATGAGTTTGATCACTGGTATAAAAAAATAACAGTTTCTGGGGTGAGTTTCTTAAAAATTTGAAAAAGAAGACTGAACTGTAGCTGAGTGATATTGCACTGGCCTGACTTTTGCAAACAGTTTTCAGCAGGGGTGTAATTAGATTTGCATGTTCCAAATCACTGACTAATGAGCAAGAAACAGTTCCCCTTCACAAGAGCGGAGGGGAGGGGAAACAAAATCGAAGCAGTAAGCTGACATTGCTGCGGATTTCCTGAAACACCATTGAGGCTGGCTTTCCTAGCCACTTTGAGCCTTACCTCTCTTCTCTGTCCCTGAGGGGCTCTCAAGTCCACAAGTCCAAGAATTTGGAACATGGAGCTGCGGACCTAGCAGACAGGACACATTTTCAGCTCACCAGAAATAGTTTTTTCCTAAAAACAAACACAAGAATCCAGAGCAGAACCAGGACTGAGGGAAGAACTAGCTTTTTGTGAATGGTCCAAAGTAAATAAAGGAGAATGCTGGATGCATTGCTGAGCAATTCTTATATTTTCATATTGTTTCCTTTAATCCTTTGTGAACTGTGATGTCACTCAAGCCATTTTACAAAAGAAAAACCAAAACTCAAGAGATCCTGGGTCACTTGTCCCAGGTCACAGAGCCAGGAAATTGGCAGAAGCAGGACTCAAATCCAGGCAGTCTCGCTGCAGAACCCAAGTTCAGTAATGTCCCACGCAGCAGCAAGTCTGGTGGCAGGGACAGGAAGAACTTGGCTAGCAGTGGTGGCGGTGGATACAAGCATGATGTTCATTTGCTCAGCAGACACCATCCGGACTGATTCCAGGCGTCACTTGGAAGTGGCTGAATGGGACAGTCACGGCGCAGCCCTCAACACTTGGTGAGGGGACCTTTAAGATGCAAGCGAAGGAAAAGTCAGGACAGCAGGGTGAGGAGGAGGGGAGGAAGGGCCAGGGAGGGCAGAGCCCAAGGCAGGAAAGCTGAATACCCCCAAGGCTCAGTGGGTGAGATGGCTGCGGGCCCGGCTCAGCTGCTCTGGCAGGGCAGGCTAGGCATTTTGAGATTGTCCCTAATGGCAACGTGGCAGCTACTACACGGTTTTCAGCAGGGGCATAATTAGATTTGCATGTTCCAAATCACTCTGACTAATGAGCAAGAAACAGATTGACGAGAAGCAGGAAAGGATTCTGAATGCCAATCAGGCAATCCAGAGGAAGCTCCAAATAGCCAACAAAGGGCAGATACAGACTAGGGTAGGGCACAGTACCTCATGACCTGGTGACTGCAGGGTACAGTTCAACCAGAGGCAAGGTGAGTTTAATCACTGACTACCCAGCAGCCAGCCTCCAAGTAACAAGTGGGTGTGCACTGGGCCCTCAGGGGAGGGGCCTGCATATGGGAGCCCCAGTGGAGTCCAGGAGGGGATGGCATGGTTCAGGGATGTGCTGGGAGGAGAGGGCTGGGTGATCTGGGTGACACTAGCCATCCTAGGGCAGCTGGTGGGCACTGCCAGCCCAGAGCAGCCCTGCAGGCAGAAGGAAAATCAGCAAAGTGGTTCTCAGCACCAAGCCTGCACTGTTCCATGGAAGCGATGGGATACAATCTTCAGAACGAAGAGAACAAGGTAAAGTATACAAAACTGTGCACATATGTGTCATCTGTGGAGATGAGAAAAAAGATAATAAACATGCATGATAACATTTTTGCAAGGATCTATGAGGCTTACAGGACTGCCGCTGGAGAGGGGCATTGGCAAGTTGGGTGGGGGACTTCAACTGAATCCTTTTTGTACTGTTCTTTTTGGTTTTGGGGGATTTTTAGTTGCTGTTGATGGAACCAGGGCTTTGAGCATGCTAAGTACATGTTATACCACTGAGCTACACCCTCAGCCCATGGTTCAGTTTTTATATGATGTGTGTGTATTCAAGTTAAAGGAAAAAGATTAAGGACCAGCTCCTCCCATCCCCCCACAGTGATCTGTGGCTGCTGTACAGAGGTTTAGCAGGGCCGGACTCTAGGATGCTTTGGGCTGGCTGAGTAGGGAAAGTGAGGGCTTGGTTAGCGTGGCCTGGTGGCAGGCTGGGGAGAGGAGCCAGATGTGGCAGGCAGAAGTCTTAGAGGTCTATGTGGATGACCTTGTAAGTAGCTTAGAGGTGGAGAGGAGACAAGTCTGTGAGGTTAGAAGCTGAGCAGTGTTGTCATAGTGAGAAAACTCACACTTGTTCATCCCCGCCAGCCTGTTTTAGAATCCCCAGGGCACACCTGCCAGGCCTCTTGGCCACAGTTTGTAGTCTCCACCATGCCCTGTCTATAAACACAAAGGCAAGTGAATTGAGATCATTGGCTGTTTCTTGAGCTGGGCCCTGGTTCCTTTCTTGGTCACCTTTTCAGGTTACCAGTTCCTGATCACCCCCAGGTCCTGGCTGATTGCAGCCTGGTCTCACTTCACAATGGCTTGTCCATCTATGTTTAAGGATTTCTCTTTGGCAGACAGAATGGAAGTGAGTTGTATAATGCTGCCTACCCTGTCACCTGCTAGCCTTAACTCTGTCTTTGCTCAAAACTCGGCTCTACACACGACGGATTTTTTGTGGGCTTCACTCAACCTTGACTTCAGCTTTGTGGACTGGCAGCCTTCCTGTTTCTCCTGCAACCCCTCAACTGCCCATCCCCTAGCAACATAGACTTCCCCCTTTTCTGGAACCTTCCATCAGATGCACCATAATTGGCTGCCACCTTCTGTACTGAACTAAGTAAAAGCAATTGTTTTTTCCATTTCTCTGTGTTCTGACGGACCTACCCAAGCCTCTCAAGGGTCTCTGGTTAGTTGAAGTGCGGTGACCCCTGAGTGACCCAGGCTTCCCTTCACCATTTCCTGGGGCACTCCTCGAGACAGATGAGCATGCCTGACTCATTTTTTCCCTGGTGGCTGCAGGTGGGTGAGCATGGCCAGCAGCTGTCTGCCCCACCCTCTTGCTTCCCTTTGCTCCCTCTTACACTCCTGTGGACTGGGCCAGTTTGCATCAGTGTCCTTCTTGGCCATTAAGACAGGAGAGTTCCCCAGCCCTTATGCTCCTCTCTGAGGGCCTGCATAGTGTTCTGAGTATGTACTTTAACTTTGCTTCATAAACCTCTTTAGCTGGGCAGTGCACACCTGTAATCCCAGCATTCAGGAGGCTGAGGCAGGAGGATCACCATAAGTTTGAGGCCAACCTGGGCTACTTTGAGTTCAAGGCCAGCCTGAATGATATAATGAGCCTTTGCCACAAAAATAACATGCTTCTCATTGAAGCATCTTGAGATTTTCTTTTTTTCTTTTTTCCCCTCTTATGAGACAGGAGTTCACTATGCAGTTCAGGTTGCCTTTGAACTCACTTTGTAGTTCAGGCTGGCTTCAAACTCACAGTTATCCTCCTGCCTCAGCCTCCTGAGTGCTGGGATTTCAGTTGCACACCACACCTAGTGAGATTTCCTTTTATGTGATGGAGTCAGTGAACCTACAACTTACCCTTATAGTTAGGGTAAATTGAGGTCCCCTTCTCCTCCCTTTAGGACTTCTTGGACCCTGTCCGGTGATAGCTGGAGATATCTTCCAGGCATCTGATGTTGTGTGAAGGGGCCGCAAAGGGTCTCCAAACCTCAGTTGTTGAACATCCAGAAGAGAAGTTTAATGACATTGCATTAATATTTATTAATGACATTACATTAATATACATTAATGACATTAATATTCCTGTCTTATCTAAATATCATAGAGAAAATTAGAAATCAAAAGCCATACATAATATTGTAGCATGACAATCATGATGACATTTTTCTTTCTTTTTTTTTGTCTTTTTCCTTTTTATCGGTACTGGGTATCGAACTCACGACTGCCTGCTTGCAAGGCAGGTACTTATGCCACTGAGCTAAATTCCCAGCCCCTGTGATGACATTTTGTAACATACTTGAATTTCCATTTTGACATAAAATATCCCTTTTAGTCAATTATCTAACATATAAGAAATTTTACCTAACTTCTTGTCCTTTAATGGGATGTACATCACATGAATTTTTGTTAAAGGCAGATGTCTGAATCTGAAAGGAAAGTCTCTCGCTATACATAATCCTCTCATTACATTTTGGAAGACCTGTACATTTGGAGGAATGAATACATTTGAATGAATAC